CATGTTTGGAGGCACGATGTCTCTTCCAATTCGACAAGGCCGATTATGGCCTGGACTTGAGAAGTCGAGCAAAAAGTTTGGTAGGCATTTGGCGACCATAAAATACAGCATCTTGCTCGCCCCGCTTTTTCTCAGCCATGTATACAAACACAAAGAAGCTGAGGATTATACGGAGGATGTCGTCTCGGTCACCGGACTCAAGATAAAACTGGACAGTTTCATGCTTGATATACACCAAAGAAGGGAGTGGTTTAACACTCAGGACAAAGGCAGGAAAACTCAGAGCAAAACCACGGGCATGAAAATCCATAAGGCTCAACTGGACTTGGTATCAGCCGACATCCGCGCTATGTCTGCAACAATTGCAGGTACAACGCCAGAATCCCTCAAGAAAGCGTCTGTTCCACCGCCCATTACTCAACAAGACAGAGGTGCAACTGACCTTTCCAAATTTGTTATCCCAGATAATGATTTCAGTTGGATAGATATGGATGATTTTGTGGAACTGGATTGGATTTTGCCAGCCGAGGCGAATCCACACACAAAAATTATGCCACTTGCTTATGCACCCAGGCTTTCTTATTTCCGTCAAACAGACCATGGGAACACCATAGCAGGTGACCCAGATCGTACAAGCCCCTTTGGAAACGAGCCCACCCATGTCTGCATCATGTCAAAAGACGACGATCCGCGAAAAGTCCAATGTCAGCTCATTCAAAACCGACTAGATCAACTCGAGGAACAGGTACTTGACCATAAACGAGCGATGGGAGAAATCGAGCTTCGCCAGCTACAGGCTACAAGTGCTGATGACGACACGGCGATCAAAGCTGAACTTGATCAGATGAAAAGTTATGATGCAGTACTACGAGAGAAGCGATCGTTCCTGGAAGCTATGCTGCATCTCATGGAAGCTAGAATTAGGGCAGATATCCGGAATGCAACGCCTAGTCTAGACTTAGATCCAGGAACCGACAACCGTACCTTCCCAGACGAAGGAACCCAGTCTAACAATACCCGTGGGGAGAATGCTGCTGCCCCTGATTTCGTTAGTGATTTCAATAATCGCTTTGTCATTCATAATATTCAACTAAAGTGGAACAACTCTTTACGCAACACCATTCTCCGATATATTCACCAGGTCAGCCAAAGGCGTGGGTTCATATATTACCTATCAAGAAGGGCGGTGAAGTTTATTCTAGACATTGTCGAAGAGCAAAACAAAGCAAAGGCCCCCAAGTCTAAGTCTTCAACACCGCCGAGTCCTCAACCGCCATCTGCCTCTCCTTCAAGCGGGACAGAGGAGCAAAACGCTGACTTCGATATTCAACAACGAATCCAAGGATTACTCGCTGATTCCAAAAAGTTTGTCGATGCGAACGATCCCGGAAACTATGAGAGCGGAGGAAGACCCTCAGCAGAGCATCTTACCTCAAACATTGGTAAAGATTTTACACCTCAGAACACATACCATGTTCGCCTTATCGCCCCTCAAATACAGCTTCAGAGCGAGAAAAACCCAAAGTCTGTTGCTCTGGTTACCGCGAAAGGCATGGAGCTTAAACTTGTTGAAATCATGGATAAAGATCGCATTTTTGATGAAATTAGCGGACTGGTCCAGCGTCGATTCTCTGTGGAAATGGATGGTACCCAGTTTTTTGTTACCCACCAGAGGCTTTTTAAATCTCCTCTTCTCTCCTTATACTCCGGAAGTCAATACGGGACGCCTTCGGGATCGGCCTGGCCGCCTTGGGTTCCGATGGAAGTCATGTTCGACTTTGAAGTTGACCCATTTGGATTCAAGCGTGTTGTGCAAAAGACTTCGGCAAGCCTAAGATACGACAAATACAATACCTTACGCCTAAAGTACAATGATGAGGTTGACAGGACAGACAAGGTCGCTGCTGATAGCCTTGACAGTCGAATGGATCACCTTTGGGTTCAGTTTCCTCACATAAGAGCAATTTGCGACTCATCTCAGTACTACGCCATGTATATCATAGTGCTAGACCTATTACTATACAACGAGCCTCTCGAAAAGACTCGCAGTGAGAAGTTAGAGAAGATCATGCTTGCATCTGACTTTAGCGACCTTCGTGGTGCCCCTGAGATGGTCATTCGGCTACAGGAACGTATTCGCCAACTTGAAGAAATCAAGACTCAATTCCAAATACATTCGAATTACCTAGACAAAAAAGGCTGGGAAGGCCGAATCCTTTTAGACCGCGACCTAACAAGCTGTGAGGACGAACTCTTCTTCATGATGAAGGCGATCACGACGTCGCAGCGCAAATATGACGGCTCTCAAAATAATGGTCTCCTCAGGTGGAACATAGCATCCGAACAGATCGTATGGCATCTGATGCGCGATGGGGATCGGCCGCTCATGGAATTCCAGTTACAGAAGGCGGAATACGATCGAACTGATAATGCAGATGGTTCACATGTGAACCTTGTACAGATTGGTAAGATTGTGGGACTTAATCTTCTTCCAGATGCTATATATCCCGAAATGATTGCTCCATATTTCGATCCTGAACGCAAAGAATCTGAAAGCACCAATAGGCAAATGCTGAGGGTTTATTGGTATATGCTCGAAGCAATTGCTGGGATTCCAGTCATGGATCATTTCGAGGTTAATCTGTTTCCAATGAAGATGCAACTGGAACGAGAAGTTGGTGTGAAGCTCTTTGAGTATATATTCCCAGGCTCTGGGGAAACCCTTTCTGGCAACATTAAGGGGTCCGCAGCACGAATGAAACACATGGCACCGCCTCAGGACGAAGATGACGAGGAAGACAATTCAACAACGCATACCACTCAATTCGTACTCAATCCGGATGCCGATAGGTCGGACGCGAATACTGGGTCTGGGGCTGATTCGCTAGAATTAAGATTGAGGCCAACTTTGAATTCCGAGAGTCGCTCGAAAACTGGCTTGTCACGAAAGAAGGCGAGGATGGTAACTTTACATCATACTCAAGGTAGTGAGGGCGCATCTTTCCGTCTATTCCAGTCAAACAAGGCGCATGCTTCGGATCAGCAATCAACGAAGAGTATTCGCAAAAAACCTTCTGTTGATAGCTTGGGTTCAAGCAATGCCACTCGACCAACGATCTCCCGATCCATGACAACTTTTTCGGCATTCGAAGGTAGTGTAACAAGTGAGAAACGAAACAAACTCTTCGCCATCAATCGCAGTGGCAGACAAGATGACGTGAAGCCTTCCGATGATCTGACGAAGATGTTAAACCGAGCATCCAACTATATGACGCTGGCGTATGTCAAGATTCCCAGTGTAGTCATTTGCCTCAGTTACAAGGGCAAGGACCAACGCAATATTGAAGACTTGCACGATTTCGTTTTTCGCCTACCTATGCTCGAATATCGGAACAAGACCTGGTCAAATCTTGATCTCGCGCTTGCTCTGAAGAAGGATGTCATCAGAGCACTCATCTCTCATACAGGTGCAATTATCGGGAATAAATTTACCAAATCTCGACCAACTATGGCACAGCAGCATAGACTGAGGGAGCTTGCAACGAGCAATGTCCTTTTAGTGCCATCACGTCAAGATTCGCCTCATGATTTTACCGACACAGGTAGCACCTTGGCGAGCAGCCCTACGGGTGCCAGGGACCGATCTAAGAGCCCGCGTCGGTCATTTGCTTCAAACAGTAGCAGCCTACGTCCTGTGAGCGCGGGTAGTAGTGGCGCCGCTTCGTTTCAGTCACGCAGTCGAGGAGGTTCAAGCATCCCTCAATCACTAACTATGACAAAATCCCATCCTTCAAGTGGCGAAGGCGGTAGTCAGACACGATATTCAGGAGACTCTTATTCTTTCCAAGGTTCTGGGAACAGTGACAAGCATAAAGGCGGGTTTTTGAAGGGCGCTATTGGTCGCAGGCTGCAGGCTATTGGCGGCAGGAGGAGGAGGGATCGACCCAACGATGCACCATCTGGTTCCTCTGGACTAGAACAAGACGAGGGGTATTCTGATTCGGAAAGCCTCAAACACAACCAAGAATAAGGGACGTCGTCACGTTGCTTGAAAATCACTTAGTTATCGAAACATGCTTGTCAATAATTAGCATGATCAGTTCGCTCCCTTGGAAATTTCCTTGTTTGTCGTGGGGAGGGATGCTCAATATAGAGGGAAATAATTAATCAACAGGAGTTAACATTTTAATGGGTGATAAAAGGCGAAACAACGTTGGACTATTGGTAGTTGGCATTACTATCGCACATACAAAGTTAAATATATAATAAGACAATAACTTAAAACGCTTAATAGTAACTACTATCTATCCTATCGATCTACATATTTAAGAAAGTTAGAATCACCACATGTCAAACTATTAAACTATACAAATGATAGAACGCCTATTTTTGTAGTAGTTCTTAGGTCCGTTTACAGACGTTTTATATAACTCTGGCGCTATCTAAATTATTCTTAAAAGTTTATAATTACTATCTAACCATCTATTCTATTAGCATATATATAAACGAGGCTTATAATTAGAAAATAATGTGCATAATCCTAGTTATTATTTCAACTAATGTGTTAAAACCATTGAACTATGCAAAAGTGGAACGTCCACTCTTGCAGTAGTCTTAGATCGGTTTATAAACTCCAACATAATGTTAGTTAAAGTTGCCATCTATTGCTATATACACTTTAGAATGTTAGGATTGTTACCTACTATTAATTTTGCCATTCTCGACTTTTAGCAACATTTTAGAGTAGTGATAGCTTTATAGGGGCTTAAGTCTTAGAAGGAAAAACCTTGTCTATTTCTAAAAGTCTAATTCTATGTTTATACGAAGGATTTTCCTTTTGTACGAACCTACTAGCGTACTATTCTATACATGCTATAGGTTATCACGTGAGCTGTGCCTTCTACACCTGTGCTCTAGGTTATCACGTGGTGTTGTTGTTTGTTTGTATAACGTAGGTCATGGCGTAAAGGGCTACATGGCCTAAAGGGCTATTTTACCGACCCCACCAAAATCTAGGACTACTACTGCCCTACTAAAAATCGACTACTACTACTACTACTACACTATAATGGTGAAAAAAAAGAGTATAAAGGCTCAAGAAATTGATTTACGACTTTCTGAAGCTGTTCTAGGCGTTAGGACAAAAAAATTTAAGTCTGCAAATGCTGCAGCTATTGCCTTAGGCCTAAGGCCAGACTCTGTCCGTAAGCGCCTATGCGGTAGGATCACTCGTATTGAAGCGCGTCAAAAGCAACAACTCCTATCAAAAAATCAAGAAAAGACACTTTTAAAGTGGATTAAAGAGCTTACTATAAGCGGCTACGCTCCTAGCCATCGGATATTACGTGAGGTTGCAGATGAAGTCCGGTCAAATAAGTGTCGCGTTTTTCAGCCTCAACAACTACAACTACAACAACAACCTCAAACTCAACAACAACAACCTCAAATACCTAACTTACCTCTTAGGCAAGAGTGGGTGCCACGATTCATTCAAAGGCATCCTAACTTACGTGTTAAGTTAGGACGTAGAGTTGAGGCACAGAGGATGAATGGGGTTACAAAGCAGGTGTTGAAGGGGTGGTTTGACGCGTATAAGAGCCTTATAACAGAGCAAAAAATCGAAAACTACAACACCTATAATATGGATGAAACTGGATTTTCAATTGGAACTATGCAATCTACACGAATTATAGTCGATTCTACACTCCGTACGCGTTTTCAAGCTCATCCTGGCCGATAGGAATGGGTGTCTGCTGTTGAATGCATCTGTATGGATGGAACAGCTATTGAACCCCTTATTATCTTCAAAGGACAGAATATACTACAAAGCTGGATTCCGAAGGAGGTTATACAAAAATGGCACTTCTCTGCAAATACAAAGGGATGGACAAGCAATCTTCATGGATTAGAGTGGCTAAAACGTGTTTTTGAGCCCTCTACAAGAGCAAAAGCAACACAAAATGGACGACTACAGCAATAGCTCCTAATTTGCGATGGCCATGATAGCCATATAAGCGGAAGCTTTATATCACACTGCATACAGAATCGAATATCACTCCTTATTCTACCTCCTCATACATCTTATGTTCTACAACAACTT